AATTTAGTGCTGTGGTCAGGGGAGGGACTTGCTTCTGTCGTGGTCTGGGTGAAAGGCTGAGAGCTGATCAGTATTAAGATAAATCTCCATTTGTGTATTTGGATGTCTCTCCCTTTGGCACGATGAAGCACAGCTGGCGCCCACATGATGTAAATGTGAGAGCTCTTGCTTTCATCTCTCTGGTGGCAAATTTAGGCTGTACCTGAAAGCTTTTTTGTTTTGGTAGAAATTATGGCTGATTTCTTTTTTAATGAAAATAGAGGGTTCTTGAATGCTGCTGCCTTGGTGGAATGCCATTTCTTTTTCAGGGTGTGCCCTGGTTGCAGCAAGATGCTGCCTTTTTTTTTTTTTTTTGTGTGTGTGTGTGCCTTTCTTGTGGGGATGATTATTTTGGTTTCCAGAACACCCAGGGCATTTGCTCTTGTAGTCATTTTCCTGGTCCTCTGTCGTGGTTACTCTGCCCTCTCCCAGCCTTGTGAATTGGTGTGTGTCTGTCTGTCTGTTCTGGTATGGCCTGACCTGCATTTATGCCCTGCCACACCTTAGGTTCTGCTCAGAGCACCCAAGGTACTGTCTTTCTCAAATTTGAATTAATAATTAATATAAAAAGCTTGAAAAAAAATCTGAATTTTGTTACATAGTGTAATAACTGTTTGTAGATACTGTCCTGAGATGTAGGAATCTATTGGTGATATAAAAGGTTTTGTCTGTAAATAATCAGTTTAGAGTCAAAATGAATTTAATAAAGAGAATTCTTACACAATAATTCAATAAATTTTAATATACAACCTCTGTGTCATGCTTGTATTGCATGATGATGCAATTATGCAGAATGTATTTGCCTCTTTTTCTTCCTCAATGGAAACTGTGTACTCAGTGGAAACTGTGTACTCCTAAGCACCAGGACCTGGAAGCTGTGCAAGGAACGCGGCTTTTCTGTCCTCCCTGGGCTTTGTTTCTTCAAGATAACCTTGTCCCGCCTTCCACCTGCATCCCTCTGCAGTTTCCAGAGCTGAAATACTGTCCCTGCCCACGGGAGGAGGCAGCCTCTCCACAGACACTCCTGTTGGGCTGGCCTTGGGGGCACATGGCAGCTCTGGCTGTGGTCTCTCACTGTGCCGAAGGGTTGCTGAAGGTACGCTCTTGTCCGCCAGTGTTCCTAATTTACCAAAACAACTTAATTCTTAAATGAATTTCACAATTCTTCCCAGACAGCAATCTGGCTCCTGGCCCATCTGTCGTCCTTTCTTCCTTCCCCTTCTTTTACTAGCAGAGTTTTGTACAGTCTGCTTCTCCCCCTCTTTTAGTCCCTCCTCTCTGTACTCTGGGTGTTCTCGTTGCCCTTTAAGGGGTCACAAACCACTCGTCCCCTGCATGCTGCCCCGGGCTCAGCACCCAGCCTGGCGCAGCCTCTGCCCCCTCCCTTGGTATTTTTAGTGCAGGGAAGGCAGGTGAGAGCAGAGGGGCACAGGCAGGGGGAGAACCGCTCTGGGAGGCCCTGGCCTGGGTTTGGCAGCCTGGAGCTGCAGCAGAGCTACTGCAGGCAGGGTTAACCCTTTGCTGCAGGGCTGGGGCCCGTTCTCTGCAGCCTCAGCCAGGAAACCCGAGCTGCTCGAGCCCAGGGCCCCAGTGAGGGGGAGCCCAGGCCGTACCCAGCTCCAGTGTGAGGCTGCAGCTTGTGGCAGTGGGGGAAAAAAAATGTGATTCTTACTGTGTGTGGCCTTTTCTTCCCCAGTGTCGCATGGTGCTCGGGTCCCCTGCAGGGAGGATGCTGCTTCACTTGCTCGCCAAGAGAAAGGAGCAGGGGAAGCGTGGGCTCTGTGGCCATCAGCACCGTGCTGTGATGGTGTTTGACTGTGTGGAGGCTCTGCTGGAGAGGCTGAGGTTCCTCAGGGTCTGGCAGTGTGGCACACGGAGTGGTCTGGGAACAGGGCTGGCTCTGCCAGGCAGAAGCTGGTGCCACAGGAGCAAGTCCTGCTGACACACTGCTGGGAGCAGGGGGAAGTCAGGCAGCCCCACGGTTTCTGGGTCTGGAGAAGGCAGAACAGAGGGGGAGGACTTCTCTGTTTCCATCTCAGTAGAGCTGTGAATTTCCCGCTATAAATAGTTGCTGTGGAGACTATGAATCTACTGCAGGCTCACAGGCCTGCTGCCAGGGAGGCAGGGAGAGGCCAGCAGTAAAGTGAATCCACCGCAGCTGTCTGAGGTCTCCTGCTCTCCCAAAGCCAAGGTTGTTCCCAGAAGTGGTGCTGTGATCTGATACCCTGCCCCACTCCTCACCACGTCCATGCAGCGATGCAGAAGTTTGGTGGGCTCAAGGACATCCCTCCTGGGGCAGTGCAGACTAAAATCAGAGCAGGACCAGCTGGTATCTCACTTTGGGGAGCTCCAGAAGGAGCCAGATGACAAAGGGAATGGCGTGTCCTGCCCATGAGCTGCTGCATGGTGAGTCTGAGCCGTGCCCTGGGGCTCAGAGCCCTGCCAGGGCTGCTTGTGTGCTGCGTGCTGTGACTTGCAGGGGTGCTGTGCTCAGCAAGGGCTGATAGATCTGTGGTCGTGCTGAAGCTGAAAGTGTGTATTGCTCTGGTGAGTTCTGGCACTCCAAAGGTCCAAGTGTCATAAGGCATGACTGGTGTTGGGCAGCTCTGTACACCATTCCATGCAGGTTGGGTGAAGGAGTGCAGGCCAGACGTGAAGCATCGCTCCTTGTCCATGGCTCTCACAAACCAGGCAGGAGCAGTTCTTGGGCTGAAGTTCTCTGAGCTAGTCCAGGCCTGCAGCAATTCAGTAGGTTCAGCACAAAATAGTTGGAATGGCAAAAGCAAAAGAAGCTGTATTTAATGTGAAAGTGTCAAGAAATGAAGGATTAAAAGCACCAATTGTCCTTTATCACAAAGCTTAGAAAAGTGCATTTCACTTTCCTGCACCAAGTTGCATAGCAACACTCTTCATCTTTTGCCTGGAGAAGCATCCGGAGAAGGTGGATGGAGGTAAACCTTGCATGCCTAAGGACAGACTTGTTTTACCTCTGCAGCAACAAGGCCACCAGGGCCCAGTGAACTGCCCAAAAACTCCATCAGGCCTAGGGCTAGGATGAGTCTTACACTTTGGGTCCTATTTTCTCACTGAAGTCTCCTATCACCAGAGCACTTCACCAAGGGAAGAAGCTGTTGAACTCCCATCTCCACACACTCATGAGTTTTCCTTTGGCAGGTGAATGGTAAGCCACAGAAGCCACAGAACTAAAGCTTGCTTGCTCTCAGCTCAGGCCCTGCTGTCTTCATGCTGTGAGTGAAGAAGGCTTAGGCAGATGCTGGTGGTGCAGGAGTGTGTGAGGTAAGCTTAGCCTGTGCACAAATAAGGAAAGTTTTGATTTCAGTTCTGTTTCGTAGGTAATATGTCAGAGAGTATTTGCTGTAAAGAGTGGCCATGCATACATGCAGCATCTGGGAGGTTTATACCTAAAGAGACTGATTCTGAACAGCATAAATGCAAGGGTTAGAGGTATAGAAATGTGAGGAGGGGGAGGCATTTGAGCTCCTTTCAGACTTCTGTGCAGGCTTGGGTGAACAGAGTAACATCAGCTCTGGCACTTTGGGTTTTCCCTGACAGGGTGAAAGTCTTGAGCCCAGTCTGACCCTCAACTAGAACTCTGTTGGGAGCTCACTGAGTGCCCAAAAGCAGGCTGTGCCTCTGGCTGCTGAGCTGGGAGAGGAACATCAGCACGTAGAAAGAAACTTTAATGTTTTGAGGAAGTCAAAACAGGTGCTCTGTCTCAGCACCTGGAAGATGTTACTGTTCAGAACAACCCCCTGCAGCACTGCCAGCCCTCTATAATTATTTCTGAAAATCTTCTGGTTCAGATAGTTCTTAGCTTTAGTGACCTGATTTGGAGGATTTAAAGTTCAATGTTTCTACTTGTGCTAATGGTCTGTGGGCATTACTATCACCTGTCTCAAGCCCTGACAGTGTGTGTTAGCCTGAAGCTTCAGCTGTACAGCAAATGATATTTCTAAATTATGAAAGGCTGAGTTGGGAGTGCCCTAGCTACTGTGGCTTAAATCTGTATTTCATTAGCAAGAAGGGCTCTGGGCTGCTGTTTCAGGTGACCACTACTGAAGCCACTACTACGTCAGTGCTGCGGCAGTGGGGGACAGCAGTTGGATCAATCTGTCTGTGCTTAGTGTTTATGCCTTGGACTGTCATAGTAACAAACCCCAGGAACAGCCCCTTGCCAGGATGTCCTGTGGCCTTGCTGGGATGTCACAGGATGGTCAGTGATAAACCCATGCTCCAGTCCCAGGGCTGGACTATGGGCAGAGGAGCAGCACTGTAATGTTTAGAATGCAAGTTCTGTTTCACACCCCTCTGGAGCAGGAGCCTTTTGCCAGCCAAAGCCCAAATTCCCTCCTCAGCCAAGATGGGGATAGGGAGGGGGTGCTTTCCCTGGCTGTGGGAGGGGATCCCACAGACCCTGCTAAGCCCCTGAAAATACACACTAGGAAACCTAAGCCTCCCACCTGGCCCTGGCCCGGACCAGCCTGCCAGCTTTCCTCTTCTGAACTCTTAAAATAATCCCTGTCTCCCTGAAGTGCCAGAAGCGCTTTTAACAGCCTGACTCCAACAGCTGCCGAAGGGAATGGGAAGGAAAGGGGTGAGGGCGTAGCAGAGGTATGGCCACCCTGCAGCTCTCTCCAGCTCTCTTGAAAGGACTAAAGTGCTGAAGATCACACCACCTGTGTCCCACTGCCTCCATCCCCTCGTGCCAGGATCTGCTGTGCTCCAGGGCCATGGAGGAGCAGGTGCAGCAGGAGATGCCATCAGCCCAGTGCACAGGTCAGTCCTTGGGCATGAGGCTCCAGAGATGAGATCATGCCAGGTTCTTCCCAGGCTAGAGGAGGCCACTGGGACCTGTCAGGCTGTCCTCAGCTGCTCGTTCAGTCTAAGAGCATTTAGAGATGTCACTAATATCTCTTGGCAATGGTTTTCCACAGGAGGCCACCACCCCATGCAGGAGGGAGAGGTGTTCAACACACGATACCAGGTGCTGCACAAACTGGGATGTGGCGCCTTTGCCACTGTCTGGCTGTGCCAGGACATGAGGTGAGGGGCTGAGTGCCACTCAGGGGGGTGGGAAGGGGTGGCTGATGTCCTGGGCAGGGCTGGCTCCTCTTGCAGAAACAGCAGAGCACAGCCTGGGAGAATGCCAGGCATCCCTGAGCACAGGGAAAAGCTGACTGCAAGATCAGTGGGGTGCAACGAGCAGAACTGGTCCCCAGAAATCAAAGAATGTAAATGAGGTGGGATTGGCCTTTGCTCTGCATTTTCTTTTCTCATTCAGATCCAGCAGTATCCATGTTCTTTTTCTCTCCAGTCCTTTGCTGGCCCCTGGGGCAGTTGTGCTGCCAGATGCCAGTGGGAGGGATGCCCATAGGCCTGGTGTGCTGTAGACTGAGGCCAAGGGTGCCTGCAGAAGGGCAGTGCCTTCCCCGGGGAGCCCAGGGCTGGCTGACTGGGAGAAAGGGAAGTGCTGCTGGTCAGGGCCACTGGCATGCGTTGGCTGATAGCTGTGATTCATTTCCCAGGAGGAAGAAGCAGGTAGCTGTGAAGGTTCTGAAAAGCAGGGAAGGCTTTGCTGAGACTGCCCAGCACGAGGCTGCTTTCCTCCGCTGTGTAAGTATATTCTGTGGGTCTGTGCTTTGCTCCAGCAGATGGCCACTGAGTTCAGGTTTGAGTATCAGCCTCATCATTTCCTCTGCCTCCAGGTTTCACTCCAAGGAGCTGGGTGGGGAATAGGAAAAAAAAAACCAAAAACAAAAGCTAGGAAATTCATACAAATCACCCTGGCTCAGCACTGGCCTCTGAAACAGGTATCTTCTTCTTCCTCCATCATACTGGGACATGTTAGCTTTGCCCCACTTGCCCTGTCAGCCCATTTCTTTTAGCTGAGACTGAAATCCAGCAAAAATGAGGAATCTGCAGAATGATAAGATGGATAATCAACAGAAGAAGGTGGTAGTGTTTTTAAGCAGGAGATGGGAGCGTGTCTGCTGTACCTGTGTCATTCACAGAGGAATGTCACTCAGACAATTGCTGTATCACAACACTGATAGTGAAGTAAAAGGAAATATCTGCAATAGAAAAAAATATGATGCATCAAAATGCAATAAATATCTGAAGTCTGAAAGCTTCTGGCCTCTGCTAATGGAGGTGGTAATTAGGTGCCTGTATCTGGGTTGTAGCAAGTTGCCTTTGAAGTTGGCTTGAACTGCTAGTTTTAGAAAGCTTGTAGTTATAATTCTTCAAGTTTGCTCAAAATACAAAGATACATCAGCTCGAGTAAGTAAAAGCTATTAAATTCTTAATTTTAAATTACTCTGTTGCCTTTCTTCAACAGGTTTGAGAAAGGTTGAGTTAACACTGGTATATCTGTAGGCCCTATCTGAAGGGAGATGAGCCAGATGCAGTAATGCAAGAGGAAGTACCAAGCGGCATTAATTTAATGTAATCAGAGGGCTGCTTTTCTACACATCAGCACAACCCTGTGTAGAGAGTGAGCCTTACCCCTGATGAGAGATGCCTGACCACAGCAGCAGCATTCAATAGCACACAGCTGGTTCCCAAGGCTGTTCCCACCAGCACTGGGAGGATAGTGCCTGCAGAGCTGCCAGGAGAGGTGATCCAGTCTCTGCTTCCAGGGCTGCTCACTTCTGCTGTGGCAGAACAAACCGTCTGGCACTGGTGCAGGTGGATCTTGCATCTGTAAAATGAGCCAAACCAGAACCCTGGCAGTTGTGGCCGTGAAGAGAGAAAAAACCAGCATGAATTGCTGTACCAGGATAAGTGCTCTGGGAGAGCAAGCCCCTGGTGTTCCTTGTCACAGAAGTGTGTGGTGCTGGGGGTAGCACCTCTGCCTGGAGTGAGTGTTTTGACGCTGTGAGTGTGATGGTCCCAGAGCAAGACAAGATGGTCAAGAGCAAGACATGACATACAGAAACTCATTCCTAATTTTCCTGATGTTGTTTTCATGGGATTTGTCATGAAGTGCCAACTCCCAGAAGAGAAAGTCTGTCAGAGAGGATGAAACACAGGTACAAGGTGCCTGTACCTTGTACATATATATATGTCTCTAATTGCAGCTTTCTTGGCATTGTCCCCCTCAGGTAAGCTGCATGAAGAAGAAGGACCTGGCAGGCGAAAACATCGTCTCTTTGTTAGACGACTTCAGAATGATTGGAGAGAATGGTTTCCATATCCTTCTGTGGAGAGTGCTTTTCTGGACCAGCAAAGCCTGGGCTTGCCTTGGAGAGCCACAGGATGGTGTAAACCTGAGTGCTGTGCTGCCATGAGGAGGATGAGCAGGACTGTAGCTGGACCAGGGCACATGGGTGTGGCTGGAGGGGAGAGGCTGAATCAGGAGGTATTTGCTTTGGTCAAAGGCAAAGGTTGGTGGTAACACCTTTCCCTGTTAGTGATTCCCTAACTCTTTCCCACATTCCTGCCTGGTATTTGAGGTGCTGGGTCCTTCCATTCGATGTCTGATGGGAAACTACACAGCCCAGGGACTGCCCTTGCCTTTTGTGAAAAAGTCTTTACAGCAGGTGAGAACTTAGCTGCAATCAGACAAGGGCACCAAGGGGCTGTTGGCTCTGCAGGACATGCCACAGTCTTCCTCCCAAGGGGAAGGGCTTGGGTGTTACTTCTTAAGCCTGCAGGCTCTTCAGGTTTGGGAAGGAGTCAGGGTCACAAAGTGCCAACAGCCTGCATATGTACACCAGGGAGGCAGGGCTGGCACTTCCATTCCTATCAGCTCAGCAATCATTGGGTTCTCTCTTGCTTGTAGAAACTGCAGCGAACAAACAGCCTTCCAGTGTTTTACTTCTTGTGGGCAAACCATCTCTGCTCTCCTGCTGCCCTGGGGAGTCCCCTCTGGCAGTAATGCCAGACTGCTGGCATTTGCCTTGGCTTCCAGCTGCCAGCTCCAGCAGCTTTCTGCATGGTACCACCGACACTGACGGCTGCTCAAGGTCTCCCTCCTATCTTTACACAAATTTCTAAATTGCTGTTTTGGTCAGCTGATTCTCTTTCCATGTTGAGGTTTCACTGTACAGAGCAAATTTTTCCTTCATCCCTTCTAAGGATGTGTTGTGCCTATTTAAAAGATGGTGAAAACAGAGTTTATTCAGGGCTGGCTCTGCTTGAGGAATGGGAAACCTGAGTGAGGCCTCAGAATAGTTAAAATTACTTCTTGCCTCTTGTGCTAAGATTTATCAGAAGTCTGTACACTTGCCAAGATGAAGATTTGCTACCCTGATTCCTGTGCCCTTCTAGGGATACTAAGGAAGAAAATTGCTTCCTCCTTCATCCTATTTTCTGTAGTAGCCTCTCCTTTCTCTAAAGAAGTTCCACTAACACCTGAGTAAGTCACACAAAAATGTAGTGGCATTACCTCTGTGCTCCATTTCACACTCAGGCTTTTGCTTGATACATTATCTGCTTTAATTGTAAAATCTCAGCTCTGTTTTCCCCCTTCAGATCAGCACTGGGGCAGTATTTACTTCTGATTCATTCCAGTTTAGTTATTTAAATCTTTCCCCACGTTTCACAGTTACCATTTAAGGCTGATATTTCCCTGGGCCTGGTGTTCATCCCAGAATAGACTTCGATAATACACAGAATATTTACCAGTCCTTTATGACTGACCAGAGTGTTAAAAAACAAACCTAAATCTTCCCATAGCTTTTTCTCTTATTGATTTCTGATAGTGACTGTTCATCTCTGGTAGGTGTTGTTTATCTCTCCCCTGTGACAGGCCAGGCTCTCCCTGCTGCATCACAAGCTGTTCTTTCCCTACATGGCTCTCCTGCAGGGCCCTGAAATTCTCTTGCTGCACTCACTCATGGTCTCTCCCCCTCCTGTCTGTTATCCTGTGTCTTCTTTCCTCGTATGATGGGACATCCTTCCACTGTCATTCAAATGGAAGTTGGGGGGTGGTTATAATCAGTGGGAAGGCACAGAGGTCCCAGGACACAACAGCCATACAAACAATAATGTTTTTTCAGGAGAAGGTTCAGCTTTGTAATCATAATGCCTCCTCATAGCCCCATCCTCTTCCCCCCTCCCCTGGGCTTGCCCATCCATGCTGGTATCTGTGGATTGTCACGCTGCCTTTTGCTGTGTGTCACCCCAAACAGCCCTTTCCTCACTGGCTGTCCAGGCCTGCACTTGCTCCTGGGGCTCTGCTGCCGTGTGGGCTGATGAAACCCTAGAGCCTGCTCCCACAGGCCACCCCAACAGGAAACCATTTATTGCCAGCAGTTACCCTCCGTGCCCAGTCCGTCCCTGACACACACTCCCGCTGTGTCTGCCCGCTCTGGCAGCTGCTGCTGGGGCAGGAGAGACAGTGGGGACCCTCTCTGGGCTGATGTGACAGCGCTGCCTCATTGCCCAGGTGCTGGCAGGGTTGCACTTCCTGCACAAGTGCTGCCGCATTATCCACGCAGACATCAAACCGGAGAACATCCTGCTGCATGGATGCAGCAAAAGGCTCCAAAGGTTTCTCATGGATACACTCGACTGCGACCAGGGAACAGAAGTGAGGCTAAAGGGAGCAGGTGAGCACTCCAGGGCTTTTTTAACAAGGAAACAGACTTAAGTGTTTATTGGCAGGAGAGAAATGAGACACAGCAGGTACAGATACCTTAGGAAAGGTTCACATCTCTTGCAAGAGTCAGTACAAAACATTACAGCCAGTACAAAACATTATAGCAAGCTTATGCTGTTGAAAGCCCTTTCCTTTCTCTGCTTAACACAAACACCAGGCTGAGCTCAAGGCACCTATACAAATGTGGTCCTCCATTATGTGAAGGACAACTACAGGTCACAGATATCTGTTTACAACCCAACCATGACCTCAGAACTCACTGTCAAGGCTTTAGGTACAGGACAGTTCCATGTGTCTGATGTTTTCAACTACTGAAAGGTTTACATACAAAATGGCTTGATCAGAAAGCTGCATGACACTCCTGCTCTTTATTTCAATCATTTCTGAGGTTTGTGGGAGATTTGTATGTGCTGCTAATCTTCAAGGCCTTCTGAGACATAATTTATTTGCACAGAATGGTGTGAATATTGAACAAGATGTAGAGCTGGAGAGTTTCTTGAGCAATTATCTCATCTCTCAGCAATGAGACCTTTTATATTATCCTTGCACTGTGTTCTCCTGTGAGCATTTCTCCCATGACAGTGTTGTTTTGTCTCTCAAACTCTGGGGCAATCAAGGAATGTTAAATTAGTGACCCAGTCTTTTGCTTGGAGCAGAAAATCACAATATTAAGCATAGGCTGACAGCTCACTGTAAGGCACTAAACCAGGAATTACCTTTTTCTGGAATCATATGGAAGCATAACTTCCACATTGCTTGCCAAGCAGGTTGTGTCCAAGGTCTGTGACAGCCAGGATTGCTGAAGATTGAGGAGAAATTACAGATGTTTTGGTTCTGACTGGTGCTCTCCTCTGGGCCTACAGTAATTTAACCATGGTGCTAGAGGAACCTTGCAGCAGGACAGGAGCATATGGTCACACTGTTCCACTCCAAGCTACTGTCCTCCTAAACATTCTCTTATGTTTTTACTGGGTACCAGGTCTTCTTTTGTGTTCCTTCAAAAAAGAGGGGTGGCATTTGATTTATGATAAAAAGTATTTAGGACCTTTTAGGCTGAGAAACTTTAAGGGAAGGCAGACATGCCTCTCCTGTGGTAAGTGCTGTGTACATGCTTGTTCAGAAAGGCCTGATTTCTCTTTGTCATTTCCATCTAGGAGGTGATCTTGGCAATCAGTTGGAAGAATCTGATTTAATGAGCATAGAGGTGAAAATTGCAGATCTAGGAAGCGCATGCTGGACAGTGAGTCTGCTCCGAGTCTCCATTCCATGACAATGTGGGATGCTGTGTGCTTCTTTCCATCCCACACTGTGTGTCTCTCTGTCCCTTTACAGCTGAACAGCAATTTCAGAGATGCTGATATTGCGGGGTGTTATGTTTGGCGCTCTCAGCTCCAAGCTGCACACTGTCTTCCTGAGACACTGCCAGCTTTGGACGTTTCTCCAGCTTTTGCAGTTAGTGCCTACAATTGGAAATTTTAAACTATGTTCAGTGTGAAATGGTGGGAGGTAGATTCCCACTGGTGTCAGTGGGCATGGCCAGGAACGTGCTGGCCATGCCCTGTGCAGAGCTGAGAACACACATTCATCTGTGTCCCCAATGTCCTGTCACTGCACAAGAAGTTTGCGGCCACCAGCATTGCTGTGACTGGTTTAGGGACACCAACCACAGGGAATTTGTTTCTGTTTTAGTACAAACCTTTTTCCAAGGAGATACAGACCCAGCCATACCGTGCCCTGGAAGTGCTTCTTGGACTAGACTACGGCACCCCTGCGGATATCTGGAGTACAGCCTGCCTGGTAGGACTGGGGACAACACTTTGTGTGTAGGGGAGGTGACAGACATTACCTGGCCAGGGCAGCATGTCCTTAGCATCCACCTATCCATGTAAAGAAAGCTTCCTTTCTGAGAAGGCAAAAGGGGCTGTTGGCACTCACTCAATTTGGGACAAAAGTCTGCTGCTGATAGAACCCACTCCTAAATTAGTTTAAGCTTTAAGGCAATTCACACTCCATGTAGATTAACTCAGAGGCTTGCCTGCATCAGGCACATGCTGCTTTTCATCCTGATGAAACTAAAGGTTTTTCACTGTGGTACAGATCAAGGCAGTGTGAGTATTTCCATATTTTAGGATCAGTTTTGTGTGATAAAGAGGGCAATTGGTACTATCAGCTAGTGGGCACGGAAAACTCCAAGGTAATTAGTGAATTAACAGTGCTACTCCATTTCTAGGCATTTGAAATGGCAACTGGGGAGTGTCTATTTGATCCTCAACCCGGGAAATACTTCTCCAGAGATGATGGTAGGACTCCATGAGTTTTATTCATTTCACTGACAGAAGTGTTACAGTCTGTATCTAAATCTGTCTTCCCTCCCTCCATCTAGATCATGTTGCTCGTATTATTGAACTCTTGGGAAGAATTCCTCCTCAAATCCTTTTCTCATGGAACAAGTCAACAAATTTTTTCAGCAGGCCAGGTAAGAACTGGCAGAAGGAAGTTTATTTTAAAAATCACTGCAGATCTGACACACTCCTACTCAGCTCATGCTGAACTCCCCCAAAAGTTACTCACACAATGCAGGCTACAAGCAGGGATGGAACACAAATGGAAATTTCATAAAGAGCAGTAACACTCCCTGCCTTGCCTATCCTTGCAGTCCGTGAGCATTCCAAGGATGAATGCAAAATCCTGAAAGATGGTTATAGCAAATGCCTAACAGGGAAAGCATTTCCATTCTTTCTCCTCTGGATTTGGAGAAAATGGAAATACAGACAGGAAACAGCTCCATGCCAGGAAGGCTGAGGAGTTTGTAACAGGCTGAATTTCACCCATTCGCTGGCAGAAAACAATGATGACCAGGAATGGGGCACTCATATCCTTCCAATGAGGCTGCTATATTTAGTCTTCTGACCCAACTGTAACATCTCTTCTGTTTTATTCTCCCCAGTTCCTTTCCCTTTGACTCATGAGTCTTGAAACCCTTCTTTGACCACAAGGCATCACATGACTCCACCCTTCTGCAATCTGGCCTATCATCCTTCTCTGCTCCCATGCTTACCTACCCACCCACAGTTCATTCAGTGCTTAGTACTGGTCCCATGCTGGAATGAATTTAACAAGCACCTCCCTGCACACCCACATCCTTTGCTCGCACTTACGTCTTCTAAGGTGTTTAAAAGAAATGAGTCAAAATTAGTTCTACATTCACTCTCCCTGTGAACCAACCTGGCCTGACCATACATGCCTAACTTGAATCACTGTATTTACACCATGCACTCTCCAGGACAAGGGTTGCTTCTCGCTCAACCATACACTCTGCTGAGCCCCACAGAGCTGGCTGGCCCATAACAAATTCAACAGGAGTGTCTTGCGAGCTCTGACACTGAAATAGCATGATGCATCTGGGTGACCGTGGGCAGGCCACAGGTACAAGCAGAAATGGCTCTGGCATGGTTTTTCTGGGAACACTTTGTGTACTCTTGGCACATTCTCAGCTAAGAAAAGGACTCGGGAACACGCAGACTCCAAACATTAGCTTGGAAAGGTGGTTCCTGAGAAACCCCCGAGAGCTAAACCTGCAAGGGGCACCGCAGGTGGACCTTACAAAGCAATTCCAAGAAGGCTAAGATCTTTCAGGCTGCTTTGAGTTAATTCTGAGGCGAGGCGCAGCAGCCTCAGCCGTGCAGGTGTGACTGAGGCGCTGTGCCCACGCTGTTTCTGCCAGGGGCGCTCCTGCGGCTCTCCCGGCTCTTCCCCCGCAGCCTCCCCGGCATCCTGGCGGACCGGCACGGCTGGACAGCGCGGGACGCGGCCGCCTTCGCCGCCTTCCTGCTGCCCGCGCTGCACTACGCGCCGGAGCGCCGCGCCAGCGCCGCGCAGAGCC